TCTTCTTCTTCTTCTTCTTCTTCTTCTTCTTCTTCTCTCTCTCTCTCTCTCTCTCTCTCTCTCTCTCTCTCTCTCTCTCTCTCTCTCCCTTTTAAAAATCAATAAAATAAAATAAAAACATATCCTCAGGTGAAGATTAAATTTTAAAAAAAGCAGGCTGAGGTTATGGAGAAATTGGAATCCTTGCACACTTTGGACAGGAATGCAAAATGGTGCCTCTGCTTTGGAAAACAGTATGGAGGTTCCTCCAAAAATTTAAAATAGAATTACAATATGATCCAGCAATCCCACTTCTAGGCATTTATCCAAAAGAACTGAAACCAGCACTGTGAAGAGATATTAGCATCCCCATGTTCATTGCAGCATTATTTCCGGTAATCAAGATGTGGGACAACCTAAATGCCCATTGACAGGTGAATGGGTAGAGAAAACATGGTACATGCACACATTAGAATGCTATTCAGCCTCAAAAAAGAAGGAAATTCTGCAGTATGCTACAACATGAATGAACCTTGAGGACATTATGCTAAGTGAAATGAGCCAGTCACAGAAAAACAAATATTGCATAATTCTAGTTATATGAAGTATCTAAAAATAGTCAAATTCATAGACTCAACGAGTGAAACGGTGGTTGCATGGGCTGAGGGGGAAGAGGAAATGGGGAATTACTAATCAAGGGCACAAGTTTCAGTAGAGCAAGATGAGAAAACTCAAGAAATCTGCTGTATAATACTGTACATTGTATCTTTATTCAATAATAATTTATTGTACACTTAAAATCTACTAACAGGACAGATCCATTGTGTTCTTACAAAAATAAAATAAAATTCAAACAAACAAAATACAAAGTGGCTGCTGCATTTTGCATTCCAACAAGAAATGTTTAAGGGTTTCAGGTTTCTTTTCCCCCTCCTCCTCCTCCTCCTCCTCCTCCTCCTCTTCCTTTTCCTCCTCCTCCCCCTTCCCTTCTTCCTCCTCCTCCTCCTCTCCTCCTCCTCCTCCTCCTCCTCCTCCTCCTCCTCCTCCTCTTCTTCTTCTTCTTCTTCTTCTTCTTCTTCTTCTTCTTCTTCTTCTTCTTCTCATCCTCATCAATACTTGGTATTGCTTGTCTTGTTCATTACACCCATTCTAGTAGTTGTGTAGTGGTATCTCATTGTGAAAATTTATTTGCATTTTCCCATGCTGGCCATATTTTAAAAAATTTATTATTTGTGGGTTTTTTGTTGTTGTTGTTTTAGAGAGAAGGAAGAGGGGGAGGAAAAGAAAGAGAGAGAGAAGAGGAGAGGAGAGGAGGGGAGGGGAGAGGAGGGGAGGGGAGGGGAGGGGAGGGGAGGGAGGGGAGGGGAGGGGAGGGGAGGGAAGGGAAGGGAAGGGAAGAGGAAGAGGAAGAGAAGAGATATATCAATGTGGGAGAGAAACATCAATAGGTTGCTCCCCGGCACTGGGGGTCAAATCCGAAACCTGGGTATATTCCATGACCGGGAATTGAACCTGCCATTTACAGACGGACTCTCCAATGTACCGAGCCCCACTGACCATGGCACCCTGGGTGTATTTTTGTGTGCTTGTAGCCTATTCATATGTCTCTTTGGTAAAATGTCTATTCAAATATTTTGCTCATTTAAAAAATATTATCTTTTTATTTTGAGTTGTAGTTCTCTATATATTCTGTATACAAATCCACTGTGGGATAGATGATTTGCAAATATTTTCTCCCTCCCCCACAAAGATATATAAGCACATTTGAAATGTTGATAAATATTACCAAATTGCTCTCCAAAGAGGAAGCATCAATATATATTTCTACCAACAGTGTATGGGAATGCTGGTTCCGCAGCATCCTCACACACATGTGATGCCAATCTTTGTTAATCGAAGAAATGAAAAATGGTATCACACTGTTTCTAATTTGCCTTCCTTTTATCATCAGGGGGAGCATCTCATCATGCTTATTTACTGGTACTTTTCCTCTTCTAAACAAAAGCGTGCTTTGTTGAAACCTTGAATTTTTTCAATTTTGCATCCCTTAATCTCTAATCATTATTAAGCATCCAGGGAGTGTTTGCTCAATGAACAAAGAGTAATGCTGTGCAGAATAAGTGAGATAATAAGTTGAAATTACTGAAGTACTATTTAGTGATACATTAATATCAATTTAATCTATGTCTGGAGTCAGGAGGTGAGTGCTCTAATGCTCTTGATTTCTTCCCCTTCACGATCCGGAATGATTGCTGTGAACTCTAAGATTCCAAGGGAGCTGGTTTCTCTAGGTCTTCTCACTGTGTGTTTTGGGTAAGTCACTTAATTTCTTTGACCCTTCATTTCTCTGCAACAGTCTGAACAGTGTGTACAGCTTACATCATGCTTATCAAAAAGGGCTAAACGCATAAGATTAATTTACAATAAGCATACATTTTTATTCACATGTATTATTTGAATAAAAAATAACTGCCAAAATGTTCTCTGTATCTACTTTTCCGTTCTGCTTGTTTATTTTGTGTGGGTTTTTTTTTTTTTTTTTTTTTTGGATTCCAAAAATAAATGAAATCATCTGGCCACAAAAACAGTAAATGTGAAAACTTATAAGAATAGGGAGAATAAAACTACAGAGATAAGAACAGGACTAGTAAAGGAAGCTGGCTGCTGTTGTAATGACCTTAAATTTCTTTTTAAAATATGTGATTTCATACTTGGCCCAGACTCTCTTCCACCCTTTTTCTCTAACTCTCTAGTGCCCTCTACTGCTCAGGTGTTCTCATTTCAACTAAGCAAGTAGGATTAAGAGAAAGTATTATACTATGGTATTTATGGCCTGCCCCTGACCTTAGTTACCTATCTCACCCTCGCCACACCTTGCTTTATTCTTGGCCTTGTGACCAGCACAAGGGACATAGAGCTCACAGTCCAGTGTGGGGGACACAGACTTTTAAGGCATTATATAGCTATTATATAATGACAAGAAATACTTCTGGAACAGAAATTACTCTGAGCCAGGCACTCTGCTAAGCACATTGCATACACGAACTTGTAGTCCTACTGACAGCCATACAAGGGATCCGCATTTATAGAAAAGGAATCAGGTTCACAAATGTAATTGGTTCAAGGTCACAATGGATTCTGACTAAGATCTGTCTGCCCTCCGAAGCCAGTCCTTTCCAGTGCATTATAACGGAATAAACCGAATGGTGTGAAACACTGAGTGGGAACATCAAAGGAGGAGACGATCTCTGATTTGGGCAGAGAAGGAAGGTCCACACATCAAGAGCAGCAGTAAACAGGGCACAAAGTTGAGACCTATTCAGAGAACAGAAGATTGGGTGGGGTGTGGAGGAAGAGGCAGGAGATGAGGCTAGAATCAGATTGTAGATGACCTTAGAGGCCAGGCTAAGGAAGGTGGGCTCAAAACCCAAAGTCAGCCTTCCCTACCCGGGGCACGTGTACTGAGGGATCTCCCAATGTGATCAGGGTTTGAGAAACCACAGGTAAATGTGGCATATCACCTGGAATTTCAATTTTACTCAAGGGCTTGAAGAAAAGGCAATCTTGTTTTCTTTTTATAAAAGATGTACTGTGGAATTGGATGTAAAGTAATATGAATTTTAAAATAAAACTTATTTGAAAGACATTTTTTAAAAAAAAAAAGAAAGAAAGAAAAAGAAAAGAAAGATGTTTCCCAGTGGCAATAAGTTGCTTCCCAATGAGGAAGTGTTTGGAAGTTGTACATTCTTTGATGCCAGTAGGGGTAGGCTAATAGGGGATCATCTTTGGAGAGCTTTCAGTCTAGGCTTTATGAAGCTGATGATTCTGAGCAGAACAAATAAAAAAAGTTCCTTTCCTCTTCCCCATCTCCTTGACACATTCCTCATGTAACTCATTCATTCTTTTACTTAAAAAAATATTTACAACTCTCTCACTTCTTGTGTGACCTTGGACAAGTTACTTAACCTGTATGCACCTCAGCTTCCTCATTTGCAGAATGGGAATATAATAATACCTACCCTATAATGTCACAAGGAGTGTCACAGTGAGAATTAAATGAGAATTTGAATAATGCTCTTAGAATAGAATTTGGAACAAAGTTCAACCCTGTTTAAACATTAGCTATCACAACAATATTATTTGTACAACTTCTACGGCTATTGTGTTCCAGTCATCACCCAGCACAGCCTTAGTCATCCATGTTGGGAGCAGGGGGTGGGTCTGGGAGGAATATAGAGATGAACCAGACTTCTTATTGCAATTGTACAGACTTATATCTAGAAGGTGCTCACATTGCTTGTTGTCTGAATAAATAAATGTCTTCCTACTAAACTGCAAGCTATTTAAATGCAGGGACCATTTTTCCTAGCTGTTGAATTACTACAAGGAAGCACTTGGTGAGGCACACAGTAGGCCCTTAGAGCAGTGTTTTTCAACCTTTTTTGGGCAAAGGCACACTTGTTTCATGAAAAAAATCACGAGGCACACCACCATTAGAAAATGTTAAAAAATTTAACTCTGTGCCTATATTGACTATATATAAAGTAATTCTCTTGAATAGGAATCAAATAAACACAAAGAAAGTATTTTATAATTACTTTATTATGAAATATTAAGTAAACAAAATAGTGAAAAATTATAAAATTCTTGTCTTGTCTGCACCTACGGCACACCAGGCAACATGTGCCGCGGAAGAGCGGTTGAAAAACGCTGCCTTAGAGATTATGGAACTAATGAATGTAGGGGAGACTACAGGCAGAAAGTGACTTAAGGCCACAAAGCTGGCACAGAAAAAGTGCTGCAGAAAGACTGCCATCAGTTTTAGGAACGGAAGCACCAGAGGAAAAGATTTGAACGCCAAAGACTAAAAGTGTGAAGACTGGCCTTGGTGAATGAGCTGAGCGGGTGTGCGCAGACCTACGCAGTGGCGCGCCCGCCCAGGCCCCGCCCAGGCCCCGCCCAGGCCCCGCCCAGGCCCCGCCCAGGCCCCAGCGAATGAGCTGAGCGGGTGCGCGCAGACCTCCGCGGCGCGTCCGCCCAGGCCCCGCCCCCCCGCCGGCTGCCGGGACCGTGGGGCCGGAGTCCGCTTGGCCTGGGCTGGAGCGACAGGTTAATCTCATCTGGGCGAGCTGGAACCATGGCTGGCTTGGTGGACTTCCAGGACGAGGAGCAGGTGAAATCGTTTCTGGAGAACATGGAGGTGGAATGCAACTACTCGTGCTACCGCGAGAAGGACCCGGATGGTAAGCGCTGCCGGCGCGGCCTGGGAACACGTGGGAGCGCCTGGGGGAGGGGCCGGGGTCGGAAGGTCACGTGAGCGACCTCCAAGGGAATCTGGGAGCGGTCACGCCCCCGGGGTCGGCGGGGCGGGATGGGGTCAGTGGCGACCTTGCGCGTGTTGGGTTCCAGGAGGACTCTCCGGACCCTCCGTGGGGCGGCGCTCCGCCGGCTACAACCTGGAGGCCGGCCGGGAAAGAGAATTGCTAGGGCACTTGGGGTAGACGCGCTGGTCGGCAAACTGCGGCTCCCGAGCCACATGCAGCTCTTTGGTCCCTTGAGTTTTTTGCAAAGGCCAGCTTAGCAGTACCCTAATTAAGTTAATAACAATATATCTATCAATATAGTTTAACTTTTAAAAATTTGGCTCTCGCCGAAACCGGTTTGGCTCAGTGGATAGAGCGTCGATCTGCGGACTAAGGGGTCCCAGGTTCGATTCCGGTCAAGGGCATGTACATTGGTTGCGGGCACATCCCTGGTAAGGGGTGTGCAGGAGGCAACGGATCGGTGTCTCTCTCTCATGGATGTTTCTAGCTTTCTATCCCTCTCCCTTCCTCTCTGTAAAAAATCAATAAAATATATTTAAAAAAAATTCGGTTCTCAAAAGAAATTTCAGTCGTTGTACTGTTGATATTTGGCTCTGCTGACTAATGAGTTTGCCGACCACTGGAGTAGAGGGACTGGGGACATATCAGGGAACAGATAAAATTCCCTGTCCTCATGGAGCTACATTCTAGTGGAGGGGGGGCGGGAATTGGACAGTTCACATAAGGAAATAAACGGGATAGTGTGTTAGAGAATAGTCAGTGCAATGGGAAGAAGTGACTGGGCGGTGTCGGGAATTATGGAGGGCAGTTTTAAATGGAATCGTCAGGAGGAGTCACTGAGAAGATGGCATTTGGACCAAGCGTGGAGAAAGGTAAGGGAGCTCGCTGCCAGGCGGAGGGAACTGTGAGTGGCCAGGACCTCGGACATGAAAGTGCCCTGTGTGTGCTGGGAACACTGAGTTGACTTTTGAGTGTGGGGTGAATGGTGGTGTCCAGAGAGGGCCACTCAGAGAATCCAGTGCCTTTGGGTGGTTTTCTTCCTCCTACTTTACTTATGTATTGGCTGGTTGATTTTAGAGAGAGGAAGAGAGAGAAACATTGATTGGCTGCCTCCTGCAAGCCCCCCCATGGGAATGGAACCCACCACCTTTTGGTGTATACAGATCCACACTCCAACCAACTGAGCCACACTGGCCAGGGCTTCCTACTTTATTTTTATAGAGAAAAAAAAAATGGCACCGGCCCTACCTTATAACGGCTCGCAGCCTAGTTCCAGAACATGATGTAACTTTTTTTGTTTGTTTTCCCCATTGGTACTTTTGGAAAGAGTGGAAGGGGGTGGGGGACATCGGTTATAGACAGATACATCCATCGGTTGCCTCCTGAACCTGCAACCCAGGTACGTGCCCTTGACTGGGAATCAAGCCCAGTGTGCCCGTGAACACTCTGACCACTGAGCCAACCCAACTAGGGCGATATTGCTGTTTTTTAAATGCTAATCAACTATGCAGAGTTGCTCTGTGTTATATAAGTCTTAAAAAGAGAGCTGCTCCATGTCCTAAGTGTAGAGAGAATTCACAGGAGAGTTACTTGAGGAGCAGATGGTTGGGAAAGATTTCTGGTGTAGTTCAGAAGGAATTGGTCTTCCCTGATCACCTGTTAACCATTTCCCCAACATGCACAGCAAACTATCTTATAATCCTGTTTCATTTCAATCGTAACACTTATTACTATTTGTATCTTGCTCACCTATTTACTTATTTTTTGTGTTTACTCCTCTGGAATGTAATTTTTAGGAGGGCAGTTGACTGTATTCCCAGCTTCTGGGATAGTGTAGTGTTTTGTGCATAGATGAACATAGATGGTCAAATATCGTCCGATTGGAAATGAATGAGAGATGGGTGTTATTGGGGATGAAGAAGGGACGGGGGAGAGATGTTAAGGAGAGGCTTCTGGGACTGGAGCCTGCCCAGGAGAGAGAGTATATTTCCAGCTCCTTTGGTGGCTGCTGTTTCTACTCTGTTGTCAGACTTCATCTTCTGAGCCTGGCTGAGGGGTTAGGTACAGTCATCGAAACACCCCTTTCTTGCTGCTACAAAGACTAGCCTATGGCCGAAACCGGTTTGGCTGAGTGGATAGAGCGTCGGCCTGCGGACTGAAAGGTCCCGAGTTCAATTCCAGTCAAGGGCATGTACCTTGGTTGCGGGCACTGATTGATGTCTCTCTCTCATCGATGTTTCCAACTATCACTCTCTTTTCCTCTCTGTAAAAAAATCAATAAAACATATTAAAAAAAAGACTAGCCTCTGTACCCTTTTGGTTTTCTGTGTTTGACAACTGAATTTCCCAAGAAGTCCCAAAGCTCGCAGAGTTTCAGTTATGGGAGTCCCTGTGTCTTTGGGCCGGCCAGGCTGGCAGAGCAGAAGGGCTGGTGAGAGGAGGAGTCTGTGCAGGGGCCAAGGTCTCCCCAGTCCTTCACATTGCTCAGTCGCTGCCCAAGGGCAGACAGTGCCTTTGCGGGAATGGTGGACACCACCTGCCTTCCTCCCTGCCTTCCTCATCACGCCTCAGGAGAACAGAGGCCGGTCCTGAAGGGAAGACACATCTGGCCTGTCACTCCGTGACCCTCCTTACTGCTAAGCCATGGCCCCAGACGTGAAGTAAAGCTCTTGTCCTCTTTTCACAGGCTGTTATCGGCTGGTGGACTACTTGGAAGGAATCCAGAAGAATTTTGATGAGGCTGCCAAGGTGTTGAAGTTCAACTGTGAAGAGAACAAGCACAGCGATAGCTGCTACAAGCTGGGGGCCTATTATGTGACCGGAAAAGGTAAGGAGGGGCTCTTTTTAAAAAATATATTTTATTGATTTTTTTACAGAGAGGAAGAGAGAGGGACAGAGAGCTGGAAACATCGATGAGAGAGGAACATCAATCAGCTGCCTCCTGCACACCTCCTACTGGGGATGTGCCCGCAACCTAGGTACATGCCCTTGACCGGAATCGAACCTGGGACCTTCCAGTTCACAGGCTGACGCTCTATCCACTGAGCCAAACCAGTTTCAGCATGGAGGGCCTCTTTCCTTGGTACTTGTCAGTGATGGTCATGCTGACCCCACACTGAGCCCTCTGCAGAAGGATCCTCACAGGCATCGGGACAGCACGTGGCCAGAAGATTTGGAAATGAGTTCAGCAGAGTGGTGAGGGGAAGAGGAGCTTTTTAAGTGAGGCACACCTTGGGGAATGTGATTTGCAAGTAGCGAGTGGGATCTTGAGCCAGTCACTTAACCTCTGTGCCTTTTACATCACTTGTAACATACTTACTTCATAGGGATTTTGTGAGGATTAAAAAGGATGAAGTGTTGTACTGTACATCAGCGGGCTTGACAGAAGGCGCCTTAGTGAGCCAATTCATGAGGAGTCTTTATTAACGCCAGAGGGAGATGTCTCCCAAATTTCTGAGCAAAAGCATGGAGGAAGCTGCTCCTATTTATATCTTTCTAGCTCTTTGCAGACTTTACACAGACTCTGTGTAAGTTATTTTTGCAGACTGCTTGTAACCTTGGGCATACATCTAGCAAACATAAACACCTGGCATGAGAACATGGGAGTATTATCAGTGTCAGCCCCTTAGGTTAGATGGTTAGCTTGCAAGGTCAGACAGTTGAGTTTGACCTTCTCTATTATTCAAGCTAGAAAAAGCAAAGTCATTTTACAGAATAAGATACCGTCTAAAAATAAGAGTTGACGTACAGAACAAGGGACTATCTAAAAGCAGAGAATTTCAAACAGCAGTTTTTCCAAAAGAGGGATTAGTATGCTTCATTAGCACATGCCTGGCCCAGGGGAGGGATCAATAATGGTTAATTCCCTTTCATCTATCTTTTTTCCTCCTGCCCTATTGCAGTCATTACTGGAGTAGTTTTTAAGTTTTCGACTCTAAATAGCAAATTATTCTAGCAAATTTACTTCACATAGTTTCAGTGGGTCAGGAATTTGGGAGAAGCTTAGCTGTGTGCCTTAGGGTCTCTCATGATTTTTTTTAGACATTAGCCAGGGAGTTAGGGGTGCAGTTATTTGAAGGCTTGACTGGAACTGGATTTTCCCATTTTAATATGACTTAATTATGGAAATACTTCCTTCTGCTCCTGGCCAGCTGATATCAGGTGACCTCAGTTCCTTGTGACATGGATCTCTCTGTGTCCTCATGCCATGGCATCTGGCTTCCTCCAGAGTGAGTGATCTAAGAGAGAGAGCAAGAAGGAATCCTCAGTGTCTTTTGATGTATCCTCAGTGGCCTACCCTTTGATGTCACACACGTTTCATTCCCATCACATTCTATTTATTAAAAGTGAGTCAGTAAGTCTTGTCTACATTAAGGGGAGAGAACTTAAAAGTCCACCTCTCAAAACCAGGCATATCAAAGAATTTATGGACATATTTAAAACCACCAAAATAGGGAATATGACCTTTGACAGGCAGCTATTTTTTTTTTGCTCACCAGATCATGAGCTTCTTGAAGATGATTTATTTATCCTTTGTTCCCTGTGCCCAAGCCTGGTTGGAGAGTTGTTCAGCGAAAGTTTGATGAGGAAGATGTCTTTTCAATTCTCTGGAGCTGTGTAGATTATTTCTGCTTTCACATGGGACCTTGGGTTTGTGGTAGTCCCTATTTTGATGAAAGTTTATCATCATCAAGAACATCGGTTTCTCTTCTGATGCAGAGGGGAGTTTCTTTAACTTAGTAATTTTCTTAATATCCTAACCTAAGGAAATAAGTAAAAATGTAAATAAAGGTCATGTGCAAAGATATTCACCCCAGCATTATTCATCTGGCAAATTTATCATTAATTTATAGTGTATAAGCAGTACATAACTGCATTATATTAATTAAAAAAACAACAACTTGTCTATCAACAGTAGCAGCTTAAATGAATATCTTCCGTTGGATGGAATGTTATTTAGCACATTAAAAAATGTTTCTGGCTGGTTTTGCTCAATGAATAGAGCATTGACCTGCGGAGGGAAGGGTCCTGGGTTTGACTCCATTTGGGGGCACATGCCTGGGTTGTGGGCACATGCAGGTGGCAGCTGATGTTTCTATTTTTCTCATCATTGATGTTTCTATTTTTCTCTCATTATTATTATTTTTTTTTAAATATATTTTATTGATTTTTTAGAGAGGAAGAGAGAGGGATAGAGAGTTAGAAACATCGATGAGAGAATCATCGATCAGCTGCCTCTTGCACACCCCCTACTGGGGATGTGCCCGCAACCAAGGTACATGCCCTTGACCGGAATCGAACCCGGGACCTTTCAGTCCGCAGGCTGACGCTCTATCCACTGAGCCAAACCGGTCCCGGCTATTTTTCTCTCATTATTGATGTTTCTATTTTTCTCTCTCCTCCCTTCCTCTCTGGGGGGGGGGGAAGGGTTTCTAAAAAATTTTGTTCATGTGGGGAAAACTTATAATATTTAGTGAAGAAAGCAGAGTACAAAATTATATATGGTATAAATTCAGCTATATAATATAGTGTGCAAAGCCAAAAATGTCTCTCAATTTGTGTCCTGGTAAAATTTTGGATTATTTTTGTCTTTATACCACATTTTACTATATTTTCCACAAAGACTTTGAGTTCCTTATTGAATTAAGGAAAGACAGGCTTATTATACAAACTTATATGATTAATAATTGTGCACTGAACCTTTGTTGAGCATACTTTTAGTATTTGCTATCTACAGTGAAACAAGAATTAAACATGACCAGTGTATGGGGGCAGGGGACATATTTACACTAATACCTGTTATACCTAGGAGAGCTTGGGAAGCATCTTCAGAGAGAGACTGTTTAATGCTGGGACAGTGTCATCATTAGGGGTGCTATCAGAGAGGAGGAGGCATTGAAGCTGGTGTTTCAAGGACAGTAGATTTTTTTTGGCAGAGGTGGGCTAGAGTTATGTCCCAGGCAGAAAGAAGGTGAGCAGGTGTGGGAAAAAAACAACAATGGTAGATGCCCTGGCCAGTGTGGCCATTTGGTTGGACATCATCCCATGCACCAAAAAGTTGCTGATTTGATTCCTCGTCAGGTACATTCCTGGGCTGTGGGCTGGATCCCCAGTAGGGGGAGGTGCAGGAGGCAGCTGATTGATGCTTTGCTATTTCATTAATGTTTCTCTCTCCCTCTCCCTTCTTCTCTCTCTCTAAAAATTAAGTAACTATTTAAAAAAATAATTTAAAAATAATAAAACAATAAATTTCTTTTAAAAAAAAAAGAAAAAAAAGAGTAGGCCTGGCTGGCATGGCTCAGTAGTTGAGCACATCAGCCTATGAACCAGGAGGTCACAGTTCAGTTCCCCCTCAGGGCACATGCCCAGGTTGTGGGCTTGATTCGCAGTGTGGGTGTGCAGGAGGCAGCCAGTCAATTATTCTCATTATTGATGTTTCTGTCTCTCTCTCCCTCTCCCTTCTCTGAAGTCAATAAAAAAAATTTTTTATTTAAAAAAGAGTGGTAGAGAACAAGAATTAATCCTCTGTTACACTAACATTCTTAAATAAATTTCTGTAGGTGTTGTAAGTCAAAGTGGTCCCATTAATAGATCTTTGCTACTCAAGCCCTTTTGGATTGCTGTTTATTAGACCTTGAGTCCTGCCAAGTTTAAAAGCCAATACTGTTGGCAACTCGTGCGAACTTCTGAGATAAAGGATTTTATAATCTTTGGTCTTGCCCTCTGTCCCTGAAAACACGCCCCATGTTCTTTCTTGACACAGACTAGTTAATAACTCTCCTTTACCAAGAATAGCTGGGCAGGAGAAAGAGTGGAAAGCCAAAGATTATATCACTTTTAGCTGATGTGACATTAGGCAAAGCATTTTCCTTCCCTGAGCCACAAATTCCTCATTGATGAAATTAAAAGTAATAAGGTCTGCTCATACCTTCTTTTTTTAAAAAATATATTTTATTGATTTTTTACAGAGAGGAAGGGAGAGAAATAGAGAGCCAGAAACATCAGTGAGAGAGAAACATCGACCAGCCGCCTCCTGCACACCCCCCATCCGGGATGTGCCCGCAACCAACATACATACCCTTGACCGGAATTGAACCCGGGACCTTTCAGTCCGCAGACCGATGCTTTACCGCTGGGCCAAACCAGTTTCAGCTGCTCATACCTTCTTTGTAGGTTTTTTTTTTTTTTTTTTTTCTGTGCATCATATGAGAATAGAGATGACTGCTTTGTTAAACTGTAAAACAGTCTATCAATTTGAACAGGTCTGGTTTGTATTGGTTGCTGCAGAAGTTACTTTGGATGGCACACCCGCGAGTAGTTGAGCTCATACAGGAGGCAACGAGTCGATGTGTTGTGCCTCGCATCAGTGTTTCTCTCTGTCTTTCCCTCTCTTCCACTCTCCCTAAAAATCAGTGGAAAAACATCCTCCAGTGAGGATCAAAAACAAAAGAAGCAATCGAAGAGTCTAGGTGGTGCTCTGCTTTGGCATTCCAGAAATGCTGTGGGAAGGAAGTGAGCCGAGGTGAGGCTGCTGTCAGCACACAGGGAAGTCAGAGAAAAGGGGCCTGGAGACAGGACCAGGAGAGGTAAGCCCAGGATGAGCTGCCACCGCCCACTGCTCTCCTGGTGAAACTCTTGCAGGGACCCTTCGAGTTTAGGGTAAAAAGTTCATGCCTGAGAAGGGGCATGGGTGTGCTCTACAATGAGCCTGCACCGAATCTTTTGTCTTGAGGTGCTTTTTTTCTCTTCTTCTGCTGGCGAGAATCTTAGGGGATAGTTTCAGCAGACTATTCATCAGCTTTCCAGGCGCATTTTTAATAATCAGATACATCAAAATGAGTGTATAGGGGAGTTTGGGATTGTTCTTTGTTCTGCTTTACTGTTTTACTTTTAGCTTAGGTCTTTCTGGCTTTAATGGGGTTTTTCTTATTTGTTTCCCAGACTTCATCTGTCCTTTGGGTTAGCTGGCACAAATGACACTGATTGGGTCTCTGTTTTCTATTTTCCCTGCCCAGGGTGATTTAAGACAGCAGTGGCCAACCGGTGGTCCGCAGACCACTGGTGGTCCATGAGGTCCGAAAGGTTGGCAACTGCTGATTTAAGATATGTACTCTCTGGTTAGGGAGGAGAGTTACAAACCATTTGCTCTCAAGTGTCCCTGGTTAGGGGCGATAAGGTCTTTCAATTCATCAGCTGGCTGTAAGTTGTTCAAATTTGACTTTGTTTCCCCATTTCACTTGCCCAGGAATCTTCCTAGCTTCTTACTATCTTGCCTCAGTGTTACATGGAATTTCAAATTTCCATTAATAAAAAAAAAACTAAAGAAAAAAGCCTTGTAATGAACTCTGCTTTAAATGACCCATTAGTGGTTCCCATTTATTATTGCTTCTAGGATTCGAAGTCCGGGATCCCTAATACGACCCACCGTACCCTGTAGGTTCTGCCCTCTGTCCGTCTCTCTAGCCTCTGTCCCTAGGATTTCTGGGTTCTAGCCACATGGGCTCTTTTTCTCTTTGTATTCTATTCCTTTTGCCTGGAATATTTTCATATTTTCTCCCCCCCCCCCCCCCAGTTATTTCACAGCTCAAATATCACTTCTTTGGGGAAGCTTTCCTTGATCTCACTGCCTAGTCCAGGTCAGAACCCTGACATTCTCATAGAACCCTGTACTTTTTCTCTACACTTGTCACACTTACGTTCATGCACTTATTTTTGTAGTTGTTTAATGTTTGTCTCATTAGACCATAAGATCCTCAGACTGGGACAGGATCTGTTCTCCAGAACCTAGCATAGTAGTTGGCAAATAGCATACATTCAGTATATATTTAGATTAACAAACAGTTAATAAAGTGCTTATAAGATGCCATATTCTCACTGTAACCCTATGACGTAGCTATCAATATTATTCCCACTTTACCTTTACTTTTTTGGTCTGCCTTGTAACGTCTCCTTTTAACCAGGCTCCATGGCTGAAAAAGCTGGTAGGTCTGTGCACTGAACCAGTCCACCTTCCTTCGGTGCTGCCTTAACTCGGGGAATGTGCTTTTTATTCAGGAATTGTTCCCTAACTTTGGCCTGAGACATTCTGGCTTGGATTTACTTTTTTCTTCTCTGGCTTGGATTTACTTTTTTCTTCTCTTTCCTGACTCCTAGGCGGACTGACCCAGGACCTGAAAGCTGCCTTCAGCTGCTTTCTGATGGCGTGTGAGAAGCCTGGCAAGAAGTCTGTGGAGGCATGTCACAATGTTGGTCTCCTGGCACACGATGGACAGGTCAATGACGACGGCCAGCCCGATCTGGGGACGGCCAGAGACTATTACACAAGGGCCTGTGAAGGCAGCTATGCCCCGAGCTGCTTCAACCTCAGCGCCATGTTTCTGCAGGGCGCTCCCGGCCTCCCCAAGGACATGGGCCTCGCGTACAAATACACCATGAAAGCCTGTGACCTGGGCCACGTCTGGGCCTGTGCCAACGCCAGCCGCATGTACAAGCTGGGGGATGGCGTCGCTAAGGATGAAGCCAAGGCTGAGGCACTGAAACAACGGGCCATGAAACTGCATAAAGAACAGCAGAAAAACGTCCAACCTCTAACGTTCGGGTAGCGTGGCCCCCCTCCTCTTCCCGATGCAGCCCTCGGAGATCCACCTGGAAGACTTGGGACTTGTTATCAGTAGCCCCGGTTACATACACCCATTGCCCCGGAGTGTCACCTACTGGGATGTAGTCTGAAATATTTATTTCTTTAACTGGTGTGATCTGTAAAAGAGACCCACATGTAACTGGGTTTTAGATCTCAAAACTCTTACAGCTCTGAAAAACGGCAAACTAGAGAGCCACGGAGGTTTTTGGGGGGCTGGAGAGACAAGGAGCAGGAGGTTGGAAAAATTAGCAGCCGCAGGGCCAGAAGGAATGAGACGTCATCATCATCATTATTATTTTAGTTGGGAGGCTTGAACATCAGGAAGTATCTTGATTTACATAATAGAGGGCTTAAGGAGCTAAGAACAGTCACGCCTGCCACCCTCTGGCTTATGTAATCCTTGGTGTGGGCTTTAGTTCTGCCGTTAGAGTCACATTTTTTCAGTTCATGGAGATCTGGAAGGTTAAAGGTCGTTATGTTTCAGGGTTGCTAAAGAGGATGTCACAAGCCCTCCGTCAGCGGAGACCATCACAGTTAGTGGCCTAGCATCCCCCGTCCCCTGCCCGGTGCTGCTGGTCACCCTGAGGGAGCAGGTCGTTCCCCAGGCCGCTTCAGGTAGGGATTTGTAAGCAAGGCTTTTGTACACACTCTGTCCCTCAGAACAGAACCTTTTTAACTGTTCCTGTGAATAAACTATTTCGATTAATATTTTTGTTACTGGTGTTCCCCTCCTCGTTCTGGGTAGAGATTATGTTCTTTGGTGGTTGTGCCTTTTAAGAACATTTGCTTTTTCTATTATCTTCCTAATTTGTCACTAGGGGGCGAGCTTGTCATTCTGCTGATCACAGGACCGTTATTTCCATCACCACCTCCCGGTTTTGTACTTCCAGTGTTGCAGCTGTCTTAGAAGGAAACTAATAATAAACGAAACAATAGATTTTTACCCCTAATAATCAACTTATTAGGCATTTGACAGATGGAAGCACAACATGTAATTCAGATAGTCTGTCAAATAGGACGTGTACAAGGTCAGGGAGTGATGATTTACTTGTAGAGAGTGAAAAAGCCAACAGAAATCTACACATGTTAAACAAAAAATACAGTGACTCTACCTCTAGCATTTCCTATCAAGGGCAGGGTTAACTTTGCAAATCTGCCCAAAATCTTATTTGCTGAATGTTTGCATTTAGCAAATTTAACAGCACACTTGAAAATACTTTTTAATATTGATTTTTAGAGTGGAAAAGAGGGAGAGAAGGAGGGAGGGAGAAACATTGATGAAACATGGGTCTGCTGTCTTCTGCACACCCCTATGGGGCGGTCAAACTCACAACCTGGGCGTGTGCCTGGACCAGGAATGGAACTGGCAACTTTTCAGTGCACAGGGTGATGCTCAACCAATAGCCACACCAGCCAGGGCAGCACACTTGAAATTATTATTGGACTTTCATCTGTGGAGTAGAGAGATAACAGTATAAATTCAAAGATTTCAATAGGAATTTTCCTTTGAACTGCCAGGTAAATTTTTATTGAATTAAGGTATTTTGTTGCAACTACCATTATATACTGGATACATATATATTTAGAGCCACACTGAGTTCCAGTCCATCCTAAAGTGCTTTAAAAGTTATTTATGTTGGCCCTAGCTGGTATCTTCAGTGGTTAGAGCAACAGTCCATGCAATGAGGGGTTGCGATTTTGATTCCTGGTCAAGGATATGTACCTAGGTTGCAAGTTCAATCCCCAGCCCCAGTCGGAGCACATATGTAAGATAGCCTCTCTCTTTCTCTCTGTCTCTCTCTCTCGCTCTTTCTCTCTCTCTGTCTTTCTTCCTGCCTCCCTCTCTCTCTTCCACTCTCTCAAAACAAAACAAAACAAACAATGGAAAAAAATGTCCTGGAGTTAGCATTAATAAAACAAAGTTATTTATGTTGGACATGTCAAATCATTTGGCTGAGTGATCCATCCTAGAGAAGTCTCTCTTACATAATTGTAACTTTTCACATAATAAATATTCTTACTCATTGTTTTATTTTAGCCTTGGAGCAAAGCTCATTAACATGAAGCCAAGTGGTATTGGCTTAGAGTGTGGATTGCATGTGTAAACTGAAAACAAGATGGAAGGGGAAAGCCTCATGAAGCTGTTGTTCAGATGACTTTTAGATCTTTTAAAATATCTGTTCAAAGGTAATTATTCCCTGGTGGTTTTATTTGATGTATCATTAAAAATGAAATAGTGAATTCAGTTTGATCTTTTAAAAATCACATCTTTTCAATGAAGTGATGAGTTTTATAATTTTGAAGAGTTAGGTTCATTTGATTTTTTTTCTTTTTCTTACATCTTTATTGTTCAGATTATTACAGTTATTCCTCTTTTTTCCTCCCATAGCTCCCATCCACCCGGTTCCCACCCTCCCTCCCCTGACCCCCCCATACTGTTCTCATCCATAGGTGTATGATTTTTGTCCATACTTCCTGTACCACCCCCCCACGCACACACATACTCACACACTCCTTTCCCCTTGAGGATTTTCAGTCCACTCCTTTCTATGCCCCTAATTCTATTATATTCACCAGATTATTCTGTTCATCAGATTTTAATTCACTTGATTTTTAGGTTCACTTGTTGATAGACATGTATTTGTTGTTCATAATTTTTATCTTTACCTTTTTCTTCTTCCTCTTCTTAAAGAATACCTTTCAGCATTCCATATAATACTGGTTTGGTGGTGATGAACTCCTTTAGCTGTTTCTTATTTGTGAAGCTCTTTATCTGACCTTCAATTCTGAAGGATAGCTTTGCTGGGTAGAGTAATCTTGGTTGTAGATTCTTTCTGTTCATCACTTTAAATATTTTTATTTTTTTTATTTTTTGCTTCAGGAAATGGTTTAGTGACTAAATTGAAAACAACAACAACTTCCCCCAAAACAAACAACAATCCACTGTGATTTGAGTTACATTTTGTGCCCCAAACACATTTTAAACATGTGCTTATGCCACAATATATTTTTTAAAAGACAGAAAATCCATTTCTCCTTTAAAACATACATGATGTTTCCTGTAGGTTTTTATCATGCTTTAAGAATGATTCATGTACTTAGTGAATTTGCTCAAGTTTGAAAAAATAAAAACCAGTATTTTGGGATCCCCTACTGATTCATATATTTCCCCTTAGTTGAGAGTTTTTATCAAAAAAGAGTGTTGGATTTTATAGAATACTTTTTCTTCATCAATTGATATGATCACATGACTTTTGTCTTGCAGTCTGTTAATGTGCTGTATCACATTTATTGAAAAATTTTGGAATAGTTGGAGTAGAAGAGGTGTTAGTCCTTTTTGTATATTTGGTAAAACTCCTCGGTAAATCCCTATGGGCTTTCGTTTGCTTTTTTATTTTTATTTTATTTTATTTTATTTTTTACCTTTTTTTTAAAAATTAAATTATTATCTGTGTACGTATTTTAACATTCCCTTCCCCTCCCATGCATACCTTCCCTCCCCAGAGTTTTGTGTCCATTGGCTGTACTTATATGCATGTATACGAGTCCTTCGGTTGATCTATTATCTCCCCCAGATCTCCCTACCCTCCCTGCTGTAATTTGACAGTCTGCTTGTTGCTTTACTGTCTCTATATCTGCCTTTTGGTTCATCAGTTTATAATGTTCTTTAATTATCCATAAATGAGTGAGGTCATGTGGTGTTTCTCTTTCATTGACTGGCTTATTTCACTCAGCATGATGTTCTTCAATTCCATCCAGGTTGCTGCAAATGATGAGAATTCCTTCCTTTTTATGGCAGCATAATATTCCATTGTGTAGATATACCAACGTTTTTTGATCCAATCATCTGCTGATGGGCACCTAGGCTGTTTCCAAATCCTAGCTATTGTAAATTGTGCTGCTATGAACATAGGGGTGCATATATCCTTTCTGATTGGTGTTTCTAGTTTCTTGGGATATATTCCTAGGAGTGGGATTACTGGGTCAAATGGGAGTTCCATTTTCAGTTTTTTGAGGAAACTCCATACTGTTCTCCACAGTGGTTGCACCAGTCTGCATTCCCACCAGCAGTGCACGAGGGTTCCTTTTTCTCCGCAACCTCACCAACACTTGTCGTTTGTTGATTTGTTGATGTTGGCCATTCTGACAGGTGTGAGATGGTACTGCATTGTTGTTTTGATTTGCATCTCTCGGATAATTAGTGACTTTGAGCATGTTTTCATGTGCCTCTTGGCCTTCCTTCTGTCTTCTTTTGAGAAGATTCTATTTAGATTCATTGTCCATTTTTTAATTGGGTTATTTATCTTCCTTTTATTAAGTTGTATAAGCTGTCTGTAGATGTTGGAGATTAAACCTTTATCAGTGATAACATTTGAAAATATGTTCTCCCATACATTGGGCTTTCTTGTTGTTTTCACTTTAAATATTTCTTGCCATTCCCTTCTGGCCTGCATAGTTTCTGTTGAGAAATCAGCTGATAATCATATGAGTGCTCTTTTGTAGGTAACTGTTTTTCTCTTGCTGCCTTTTTAAAAAATATATATGTTATTGATTTTTTTACAGAGAGGAAGGGAGAGGAATAGAGAGCTAGAAACATTGATGAGAGAGAAACATTGATCAGCTGCCTCCTGCAAACCCCCTACTGGGAATGTGCCCGCAACCAAGGTACATGCCCTTGACTGGAATCAAACCTGGGACCTTTCAGTTCAAAGGCTGATACTCTATCCACTAAGCCAAACCGGTTTTGGCTTCTTTCTGCTTTTAATATTCTCTCTTTGTCTTTTGCTATTAGCATTTTAATTATGAGGTGTCTTGGTGTGGTCCTCTTTGTATTCCTTTTGTTTGGGGTTCTCTGTGTTTCTTGGAGATGTAAGTCTATTTCTTTCACCAAGTGGGGGAAGTATCCTGTCATTATTTATTCAAATAGGTTTTCAGTATCTTGCTCTCTCTTTTTCTGGCACTCTCATAATTTGGATGTTGGTACGCTTGAAGTTGTCCCAGAGGCTCCTTACACTATCTTCATATTTTTGGATTCTTTTTTCTTTTTTTTTTTCTTTTTTTCTTTTTTAAAATATATTTTATTGATTTTACACAGAGAGGAATTGAGAGGGACAGAGAGTTAGAAACGTCGATGAGAGAGAAACATCGATCAGCTGCCTTTTGCACACCCCCCACTGGGGATGTGCCCGCAACCAAGGTACATGCCCTTGACCGGAATCGAACCCGGGACCTTTCAGTTCGCAGGCCGACGCTCTATCCACTGAGCCAAACCGGTCCCGGCATCTTTTTTCTTTTTGCTTCTCCAGTTGGGTGTTTTCTGCTTCTTTGTATTTCAGATCTTTGACTTGATTCTTACATTCTTCTAGTCTGCTATTGGATCTTTGTATATGTATATTATTTTTTATTTCAGTCAGTGTATGCTTAATTTCTAGTTGGTCCTTTTTCATATCCTCAAGAGTCTCACTAAATTTATCAGCCTTTTCTAGAAAATTCTTGAAAAATCTTATAACCATGGTTTTGAACTCTATATCCAGTAGTTTGCTTTCCTCCAGTTCTTTCATTTGTGACCTGTTTCTTTGTCTCCACATTTTGGCTGCTTCCCTGAGTTGATAGAATGGCTTTGTGTGCTAGGTGTCCTAGCAGGGCCCAGTGGCTCAGCCTCCCCAGTTACCTGAGGTGGACACTCTTGGTGCACCTCAGGTAACTGG